TAACATTGCGACATTTAACGGCAAACGATTTTGCGACATTAAGCGGCAGTTGCGACATTTAGCGGTATTGGTGCGACATTTAGCGGTAAGTGCGACATTTAGCGGCGTTGCGACATATAACGGCGCCACAATGGTGATATTTACAAACAACCGTTTATATAAGGCGTTCAAAGACGTTGATTGTTTTCGTAACAGTATCTTCTGTATGAATTGTTTTTACCTGCACTTTTTAATATTATCTCAAATTAAAATAGCTGCAAAAATAATCACTGCGACTCCTATCCTATCCGTATACAGCAGGTCGTGCATTATATTTTGACGTGACGTCACTTCCGTTGTGCAAACACCGTGATATTACTGTTACAATATATAGGCCTGTTATGAATAAATAAATCTTATTTAGATATGTGGTAAGTAGATATTCGTGTAGGAACATTACTAATTTTATTGAACTTGTTGAATAGTATAACATATTACTTTTTTCACAAGTTCTCGCATTCGTTAGGTTCAACGGGTATTTCAAGCGATCTGTATTATAGCCTCATTTTCCAGACATAAGTTGGTTTCTACGTTATTATGAAGTAACCATTATTGTAAATGCTCATGACACACTAAGTTTTCTGTTTCAGCTTCGATCCAAATTTACCAACTATTGAAGGCCATTAACTACATGAATATTATAGCTTCTTTAATTATAACAATATTCGTATGTAAAACTCCCTATGAAATTATGAATTAGTATCAATCTGACAATTTATGTCGTTCTATATAATGATATTTTCTTTTTGTAAAATACTAGTATAATGAAAGATATTTTTCCAAAATGGTAACTTTCTAGGCAAGATATCTGTCTCTTAACCAAAAATAAACTTTGATAAAAATCCCCTTGGCCATAACTGTATTCCTTCATAGACACGGGGGAGGAAGTGTTACACGAAGGATGGAGTTCTTATGATAACTTGTTCAGGAGTTCTTGTGATAACCGTCACGGAGTTCGTCGGAAAACATCTGTATATATTACAAAAACACTCGTTAAAAATGGTTATTTTCATCGTTCAAAAATGAGTTTTAGGTGCTAGATTAAACTTTAATAATTAAGCTTGTCTTGTCAAAAAATAATCCACATGCCATTTTTAATCGCCTCTTGCTATAAATCTGGAAGTTTTCAGTAAAATTTCCAAATTATTTGCCAATTCACAAGTATTGACCGGTTTGTTTCTGGTCTTCATCCTTGGCATACATAATTACCTAATTATAATGCAAAATTGCAAACATAAAACCCCGGCTAACAGATTTATACCCGATTTTTCAAATGCCCCAGAGTTCTTGTGATAACTCTGAAGATGTCGCAGAGTTCTTATGATAACTTTTGTTATTGCCAGTGTGTTTCTTGCGCTAAATCACGATACGTTTTAGTGTTTTTTATTATTCAATGAGATTGTAAATCATTATGAAATGTAGTGCGCTCATCCTTTGCGCAAAAAATAGCATATATAATTTTGGTTTTGAGTGAATTTTAGTTCAAAATATATTATTTCTTACCCCCGTTTCTTTTTCATAGTATTTTTTTTTGTTTGACGCAGATTTCGTAGACTGGAAAAAGATGTACTGGTTTCCTAGCAGTTTCCGGCTCCTAGCAGTATTCTGGCCCTTTATAATTTTCATCCAGGCAAACAGACTATTTTTTCTCAGTTAAGCATCTATGTTACTGCATCAGTCAGAGAAACATTTGTTTTCTATGTAAAACAGCAGTTATAATACAGCGATTGATATGTTTCAAAGTTTTGTCGGTGGTTTTAAGTTACATTAGAGAACTTGCGACACTTACAAGCAACAACTGGGGAATTCTAGTTTGAATGCCCATGCACAATAACTGAAATCCCATTCTAGGTAAATCAATATATTTGCAGACGACACCGAAAAGTTTGGGAAGTTATATCTATTTGAAAAACCCAGCTCAACATTGCTTATTGGTACTGAATTATATTCAAAATAAAAAAAAGGCCGGAAAACTGCTATATAAAATTTTAAATAAATGTGAGCAAAGGTGTTACATCTCAGGCCTTTATTCCATTAAAATGTAAAATAAAAGAGCAACATTAAAACATGTTAACGCTGGACAGGTACCTAACTTTGTTCTGTCAAAGTCTGCACTCTTCGGTAGACAGATTTTTATTTTATTTGTTAAGAAGTGCGATTTGGGGCCGGGAACTGCTATGAAACCAGTAGGGCATTTATGTACGTGATAAAATGCGCTTTGAAATACAATGTACTAGTAGTCAAATATGGTATGTTAATGTATATTTTTCTGTCGATGTTTGATGAGTATTTCCCCTATGCAATCTTAGTGGAGGAAACTCTGCTACTTTTGCTGTAATTGATAACAAATATATATAGTCAAACTTAGTTCGCCCGAACCTGGAGGGACAGTTCAAATTTGTTCGAGAGATCGGTAGCTAGTTAGAGCCAACCGCAGTTGAGTTTTTATCATGTATCGTACTTTTTAAGGCATAGGCGTGGAAATTATTCTGGTTATATACTTATTTATTATGGTATAAAATGATACAAATTACTTAGCCCTTAGGTAAGGGAAGCATGTCTATATATTGTCTGCTTAAGAAAGGTGGTTGCTTAAAACATGTGAAACTGAGAACAACGTGTACGTTAATTTTGAGACATTTTTGTTTTATGGTTTGAGCCCTTACACTGCTGAATATCAGTGGCCGCTGGTTCAATTTTTACTGTAGATGATAACCTATCACCTATTTATCCTTTGCAGACACATTTTTGTGCAAAGGATGATCGTACTGCATTTCATAATGATTTACAATCTAATTGAATGACAATAAACGCCAAAAACGTTGCCGTGATTTAGCGCAAAAAACACACTGGCAATAACAAAAGTTATCATAAGAACTCTGTGACATCTCAGAGTTATTCACAAGAACTCCGGGACATTTGAAAAATCGGGTATAAATCTGTTAGCCGGTACTTTATGTTTGCAATTTTGCATTATAATTAGGTAATTATGTATGGCAAGGATGAAGACCAGAAAAATAACCGGTCAAAACTTTGTGAATTGGCAAAATAATTTGGAAGTTTTACTCAAAACTACCAGATTTGAAGCAAGAGGCGATGGAAAAATGGCATGTGAATTAGGCTTTGACACATAATACAAGATGTCAGACAAGCTTAATCATTAAAGTTTAATTTAGCAGCCTAAACTCATTTTTTAACGATAAAAATAACCATTTTTGACGAGTGTTTTGAAGTATATACAGATGTTTTCCGACGAACTCCGTGACAGTTATCACAAGAACTCCTGAACAAGTTATAAGAACCTCCATCCTTCGTGTAACACTTCCTCCCCCGTGATAGAAGAACATCAGAATCGATTCGGATTATTCCACCAGTGGCTTTGAACAAGACTTATACAATTCTAATGTTACAGTTAGAAAGAATCCCTTAATAACGTCCAAAACGATTATGTTGCAGGCTCGGTTTGATTGAGCCTATTCATGGGCGGTACTGGAAAATGCAATCTGCCGTTTACGCTCCCTAGCACCGGTTTAAGCACAATTCAACATTTAAACATGGAAAATGTGAATCCTGAATTTATAATCATCCCCAGATGTCATACTTAATTTTAAAAGCAATATGGGCTTCGTCGTCGGATTCTACATGTGAGAAATTCATCCAGCTAGCTTACGGAACGTGGGTGGTTCTACTAATATTTTGTTTGTGCCTAAATAATGTAAAATTTTGGCCCACCTTGGGCCCTTTCCCTAAACCAGAACCTGGAAATTTCCCAAATTTTGATGTATGCAAATTTTTGGGCAGCGGCGAAAAACCCATCAAAAAACCCCTACTTTCTTTACAAAATTGAAAAACATTGAAATAAATTGTGTTTTAAATCTTGAAGGTTGATTTTTTTAAAATTTTTGGTGGGGAATGAAAAAAAATTATTTTTTGACATGAATTAAAAATTTAAAACTCGAAAAACCTACCCAAAACCCTTTTTTGAAAAAATTTCCTGAAAATTTTTTTCCCTTTTAAAACATAAAATTTGGTTTTCATTTTAAACTTTTTATTTTGATAAGACATAATCCCCGGAACCTGTACATGGGGGAAAATCTAAATTTTCTTAGTTTGCATGATGTGGCTCCTTCATTTACATTTAGTTTGCCCGTTTAGCTCAATAGGGAGAGCTTCGGATTTGTAATACCAGAGACGCTGGTTCGATCCTTGAGCGTGGCAAAAAATTTCCGTGACACTTGATCTCGGACATTGAATATAAAGATCATTTGCCTTTCACCGCTGATTAAAAAATCATGCAGGAGAAATAGCCAGTCATTTGCGGAATTGGTAATGCATGTAACCCTTATCCAGATTTTTATACTTCAAAACAGCAGGTGTCAAGCGCTGTGTGGCAGCCGTAGAATGGTTACCCGTACTTCACTTCAGTGGTGTCATATTTTCCTGGTCCCTCGGGATCATTGATTCCAAAACATTCAGGTGTTGGAAATTAGTTTCCTTGCGCCAGTGCTAGGGTGCGTTAAGAATGTAGCACTTTTTTATCATCCCTCATATGTACAGACTCAAGTAAACCAAGTCTGCAATTTTCATATAATTTTGTACTGCTGCTCATTAGGGGTCACACTTTTTCCAGATTTTTTTTGTACTGATAAGCTATCAAGAAGCCTGTTTTGGTTAGACTACTTTACTGATTTTCCATTTATAAGAAGTGATCTCTAAACCTATCTTAAAATTGAATTATCATGCTGAAGTTGTGATTTATCTAGGAGAAGGTACTTCCCAGCACATGAAAATCATTATGTTAAATAGGGGTATCCGACGCATCAAGTACATCATATATAGCCAAATTTATATTGGCCTGTTGGACACGTAGACACGGTGTTCTTCATTATCTCATAATAAAAATATCCCTGATTTATCATAGACTAGAGATTTTAAATATGACAACAGAATAAAGTATAATACGATTCAATCAAAAATTTAATTGAAAAGGTGTCAATTAAATATATTTGATTAAATTGAATAACATGTTCTGTTCAGCAAGTATTAACTTCACTCTTCCTGGTCCTGAAACGAGAAAGAAAGATAAAAAGTACAACTTAATATGTAAAAAAATCTTTAATTCCTATATCAAATTGCTTTATTTCTGCACAATGTTTAGATATATATAGAGGATATTGAATGAGTGTAAGTTCAATACTGAATTTATTGCACGAGTTGAATAAAATTATATTATGCGAGCCTCTGGCGAGCATAATATTATTTTATTCAACGAGTGCAATAAATTCAGTATTGAACTTACACGATTTTAATATACTATTTACCACATACCCAAAACAAAAACCGTTTCAAGTGAAATAAGAGTCATTTTTCATTGGCGCGCCTATAGTATAACGCTAACATTTAGCGCGTCTTTACACTATGTTTGTATAACGCTAATGACGTCACGTCAAAATATATGCACGGCCGTGCAATACCATATTTACGGAGTCGCAAAATCGGCACGGGTGTTTGATAAATAGTAATATGTCATTCCAATAAATGACGGACTCAAAAATCTTTTTAAAGAAATACTCTACAGTTTGATTTGTCAGATCTGTATATACATAGTTCTAATTTTGCATGTATGTTATTGACTTACCATGCTGTATGAAGTCCACTATCGCAATACACACTCATGATTCCAAAGGATGAACCAAAATTATCGTCATCGTAAGTAACTTCAACATCTGCTACAATGTGGTCAGGCTTACCACAGTCTGCGAGGTCATCACTGGTGTTGCCAATATATCCGACGCAAACGCCATCATTTACATCATCGGCATCATCATCAGCAGCATTTACATCATCGGCATCATCATCACCATCATCGGTATCATCACCATCTACTACATCATAGGCATCATCATTATTTACATCATCGGAATCATCCTTTACATCATCGGCATCATCATGAACATCTACGGCATCATCCTTTACATCATCGGCATCATCATGAACATCTACGGCATCATCCTTTACATCATCGGCATCATCATGAACATCTACGGCATCATCATGAACATCATCGACATCATCATGATTATCTCCGGCATCATCCTTTACATCAACAGCATCATCATTAACATCATCGGCATCATCCTTTACATCATCAGCATCATCATGAACATCTACGGCATCATCCTTTACATCATCGGCATCATCATTAACATCTACGGCATCATCATTAACATCATTGGCATCATCCTTTACATCATCGGCATCATCATTAACATCATCGGCATCACCCTTTAACATCATCGGCATCATCATTAACATCATTGGCATCATCCTTTACATCATCGGCATCATCATTTACATCATCGGCATCACCCTTTACATCATCAGCATCATCATTAACATCATCGGCATCATCATCATCATTTACAATGCTATCATCACCAGGGTTTACTGCGTCTAGCATTCTTTCTTCTTTATTTTCTGCCTCATTATTTAACCATACAATTTCCTTTTCCATTCTATAACGTGGTTCACACCCATGTTCCCCACAAGTACAATAACTTGGATTGAATTTCTTTGTGATTATCTTCATTTTCGGTGGTGTCCCTGGATTTGTTGGTTCTGAAATAGAAATCAAAACATATAACATTATAAATATAACAGGTTGTTGTTTTATATACCATACGTTAGAAATGGTTTAAAGGAGCTCCGCTGAGGAACAAATACACAAAACTTAAGATTTCTATTTCTTAAATAGACCCACCGGTCCATTTGAATTGAAAAAAAAAAGAAACTGACATATACTTCTTATAGAAGGAATGACTAGTAACAAACAAAATTTTCCTAAGGAGTTGAAATAGTTTTCCTATATAAGTAAGTAACAAGTAAATGACAATCTATTGTGGAAAAGGAACTGAAATATTTTCTATAGAAATAAAACGTGAAAATTTTCCTATCGAGAACAGGGACTGAAAATATTCATTCAGAGAAAAGGACTGGAATAATTTTCCTATGGAAGTGGAATGACAACTTTCCTATTAAGGAAATATACTGAAATGATATTTGTTTTGAGGGAAGGGACTGAAATTATTTTCTTATAGAAGTAAACAAATGTTGGACATTTTTTAAAACAAGCAAAACATATGATTATTTTCTTTTCTATAGCAAATTGCAGAAATTTTCGAAAGAATCTTATCTATAAATAAGTAATTATAAATATTACTAATAGCTATCAAACCAATGCAGGGGAACTACTACATCAGTACATATAATATAAAATATTAACTTACTATAATGGATATTATACAGCAGGTTTGGTTTATACCAACTTTCCCTCGGATCTTCCATACCCTATTCCGCGTAATAATTCCGAAACATTGTCTGATAATGGTTGTATTTTGCTTGATTTAACGGTTGCTAATGCCACTCTGGACAAGTGACGTTATGACGTTATATTGTAAACGTAACAATACCATTACGTCATATACACAGACGTCACACAACGACGTTTAACTGTTAACAATATCTTATGTTCATATACTTTCAAAATATACAACAAAAACTTACTGTAATTACATTTATCGCAGTGCTCAGAAATTCAAGCAATATATTACAAATGAAATTTGAAAGGCGTATGCTATAGTTAAATAAACATATAGGCAGTGTAACACCGCACTTTGGGGTCAAACGCACTTTGGGGTCCGACCCCAAAGTGCGTTAAACTTCGCACCGCACTTTGGGGTCAAACGCACTTTGGGGTCAAAATCGAAAAAATGACCCCAAAGTACGTTAATATGCTACATATCAACGCACTTTGGGTTCCAAAGGTCTAAAGGTGTAATCTGAGTTCTGCTTAAATACTGAATACTGACTTATTTTCGATCTGCGACATTGAAATATTTGAGGTGGAGTTCAAGATGGCGGTCAATACTTTGATGATGCTTAAGTGATAAAAGTTTCATTAAGTTTACCACTTGAAATATCCAAAAATTGTGTTCATATAAAAGTGACATTTGCATTTTTTTATTTAAGTTTTGCATACATATTTTTATTCAAGTTTTGCATATAAATATATATTTTTGAGTTTTGCATTAATATTTTATTGTAGTTTTTCGTACATATTTTATTTTTGTTTTTCGTACATATTTTAGCCAATCAAAACAGCCTTCAAATCTCATAACAGTCCATAGTTGAGTATAAAACTAGCACAGTGGTTTGGTGACATTTCGGCCCATTTTTGGAATCGGCCCAGTCGTTTTTGGCCGCGCAAGCCTGGTTTCGGCCGACCTTTTTTCGGCCAATTTTTTAAATCATATAAATAAGTAGTAGTCCGTACAGGCAGTACTCAAAATATCAACTTTTTAAGTAGTCGCACATTAAGAGCGGGGCTTCAGAATAATGTAAAATTCTAACTGGTGGTATAGAGGGCAGTGTGGGGTATCGATCCCCCCCCCCCCCCCCCCGAGGGTTAAAGATAACATTTTAAGGGCCCATTATGCTTTTATATTTATTTTCTTAAAAAGCTTTTTTTATTTTTGATGTTCTTTTATATTATCAAAATAATACACATTGGCCAATTACCTGAACCATCTTTTTCATCTGTTGCTTTTTTGACAATGATGAGTACAGTAATAATGAATAAGTATTTTATGTGGAAATATACATTTTTTGAACAACTTTCTTACAAATAATTCAACATTTATCGCTACTTTATTCGGGTAGCAAAATCTTACATTTCTCTGATACCATTATTTTAACATTATAAAATTCATGTTTGCTCTTTCTAAAGATTTCCCATTAAAAAAGCCTCTGGCGAACGGTTGTTACGGAGTTTACAAAACCCTTAAGATTGTTGATAAGCTTAATAATATATTTGTAAAAATCACTATTTATAGTCTGATCTAAAAAACTTTGATGTTTCACCAGAACCTTGCAATAGAGTATATTTATAGTTCTTTGGAAAAAAATATTTACTGCATTTTATTTCATTCCCAACATATTTAAAGTGGGGCTCAACATAGCACCAAAAGTTATCAAGTAAATGACTGACAGAACGGGATATTTTTCGCAGCATTCTTTTAACTTTAGGAATACAAAAATTTCTGTACTAGAGGTTTTTGAACGGTGGCTATAAAAGTGACATTTGCAACTTTGTTTGTTTTTGATTTCAAACACTTCGCCATCGGTAAATTACAGTACCCCATTTGCAAACGTCATTTGAAAATACCAACATTTTCATTTTTGGAGGTATCAAAATGATAACAACACTTTTTAGTATATATATATATACATGTACATTTATATACATTTTTTTCTAAATCAGTGGAATATAAGGACCACCTATTTAGATGTTTTATTGTGCATTATGTAATACACCAGTCATTTGTAACCACCTCCGTTGCCCCCGGGGAGTGCGGGTTAAAATAGAATCGTGTTTTTGATGTCTGCACTGTTCCGGGGCATAAGGCAGGAATGTTATTATCTGAATATCCCCCGTAGAGCGAAGATTTTACCAGTGGTCGGCTTGGTTTAAAGTCAATGCCCCCCCCCCCCCCCCCCCCCCCCGCTATTCTCAGGTTGAGTGGTGCATATTCATGGAATAATAACTGATCACCAATCAACAGCCCTTTCCAAATAGACACTTATATGATAATATATAATAATAAAAAAAAACAATAATTATATAAAATACATATTAAAGCCGCATCTTCACCTAGTCAAGTTTCTTATGTGTCACATTTAGCTAAATAAGTGGGTATTTTAACATATCATCATGCAAATTTTTTACTGAAATGTCTTACTAAGATTACCCAGAATTTATACCTTTGTCTATGCAAAGACTATCATATTTCTGTAAAATGTGTAAATAACAAACGGGAAAATGATGCATTTAGCTAAAAACAATGGAGTTAATGAAGGGTGTACATTCTTTTAAAATAAATGGAAAATTTGAGAAAAACACATTTTAAGCTTAATAATTGATACAAATTCTTTATTTGGTGATTTATTTAGTAAAAGTTCTTAACTTACAAATCAAGACCATTTAAATCCCTATTGATTCAGGGCACATGTTTTGTGTCTATTTACCATTGTTTACCATATTTAAAACATGATGAACATAAATTTTCTCTGACCCCAAAGTGCGGTCGTTTGTCTGATGTAAAAAAATGCATATGTACCTGTTTAACGCACTTTGGGGTCGAAATTGAACCCCAAAGTGCGTAACGCACTCTGGGTTCGGACCCCAAAGTACGTAACGCACTTTGGGGTTGGACCCCAAAGTGCGTTTGACCCCAAAGTGCGGTGTTACAAGGCAGAAACACGACTTGCCCACCTGACGGGACTTGAACCCACACAGCCAGTTAGAGCTAGATGACTTGTCCGGCGACTTTGATCAAATGTTATTATGTAAATATGACAACGCTGCACCTTTACCGAGCTGCAACTGAAATAAATTTACCAGTAAAGAGCTGAGCCAGGCCGAACAACCAAGCAGTCTGATCAAGCTCTGTGCTGTTGGCCGACTAACAATTTTTAAATTTATTGATAATGATAGTTCCAAAAATTGAAGCATGCAATGTTTTTTTTTCACAATTTCTGCAGGTTCAGGGTTAGGCTTGCAAATCTGATCAGTACAGTCTTGTAGTATATATACAAAGTAAAAATGTAATTGTGACAGTGTCGTGTAAATGCTATTGATATACAAAGTGTGACAGTTTTTTGTTATTCTTTAACACTAATTGATATCACTATTATCTGTTACCTGAGATTGATCTTAATTTTGTATCAGAATGTTAGCAACTTTCACCACGTCTCATCAGCAGCATCGAACTACATTCTACATACAACGGCGGAATTTTCTCTTCGACCAGGTTAGTTTGGAAGTCTGTCACATTGTAAAGAAATGACACACTGGGTTAAAATTTGGCAAGCTAAAGCCCCATTGACACTGTCCCGGTAATGGCCTCGGTATCGCTACGGTGTCTTGAACCGGTAAACCGGGGTGTTCCGTGGTGTTTTTCTGAAAAATCGAATTGCGTTTACACATCCCCGACAGAGCCCAGGTGTTTTCCCGGTTCAGTACCCGATATAGCACCGGATATATACGATAAGTGCCGATGCTAACCCAGGTGTATTCCCGTTTGATCACGATGGAGACCCGACAAGACACGGTTTCATCACGGTCCATCCCGACCATCGCCGATTTCGCCACGGTTAAGCTACGAGAGATGCCTGTACTGTCCCGGTGACGCCCCGCTAATGCGCAAATGCTTCCCGGTTCAATAAAACTGCTTGACCATGTTGACATCAGTCATTTGCAAAAGACAGTAGAGATGCCACCCAAAGGAAAGAGGAACAAAGTTGGGAAAACTGTGCTTTCTACGAATACAGAGGTTGGGGTACCTTTGGTAACGACTCAGGGAAGGACAGTAAGGAAAGCTCGCCTCAAAATAAATAGTAGAGAATGGTCCTTCTTCGTCTTCCATTAACATAATTATCCAAAGTTGCTTTTCAAGTGTATATACCTGTTCTTAAAATTGCCTGTTATCGGAGCGTTGTCGCAAATGACCGTAGCTCTGCCTGTTTTTACCGTGGCGACATCGTGTCATCACCGAGGCTCTGCCGTGTTTTGACATTGATTAACACCCATCCCGGTTTTCTACGGTTTGTCACGGTATGGATGCGATATAGATACGGTGGTTCCGCGGCGATTCCCGGTGCCAAGCCGATAGAACACGGTTCTGGGCTTCCTCTTCGATGAGTGCCGGTGAGCCCCGGTTGTATCAAACATTTTAATACAACCGTTGCGATCTCCCGGTTTACCAAGGTTTGTTCCGGTACTTCACGGAATCGCTACGACCCTACGCCGGTTATCCACGGTTGATCCGTGGTTAACCGGGACGCCAAACCGGGAATATGTTAATGGGGCTTAAATGATGATTGTGTATGTGTATAAGACGAAATCCTTCTATTTATTTCAAACTTTAGATAATATTGTATAAATAATATTAATAATGATAATAATAATCAACCATTTTCACGGATTTGTCCAAAACTGCAATTATAACCATGTCACATTATTGTAATTTTCTGCCACTGACCTTGAGTTTTCTTCCTTTTTTCATCAAAATAGGCTCTCTCATGTGAACAAAATATATATATTTTTATTTCATGCTTTCCAGTGTTTTATTGCAATATATCATTATGATTATATTCTGATGAACCACTAGTGAAATTTATAAAATATAATTTTCACTGTAGCCGGACTTTATCTAAATGCGGATGAAAAGAAAATCATAACTAAATGGAATAACAGGCAGAAATAAATGCCGTCATGCGTAAATTTTGCTTCTTTAGGAAAAGAAAGTCGATGTCACCATACATCATGTTAAAAATGTAACAAAATTAAAGAAATTTAACAGAACCATATTTCAA